GTGTGTGTGTGTGCGGTGTGCTCTCCTGAAGAAGGTGTGCTGTGCGGTGTGCTCTCCTGAAGAAGGTGTGTGTGTGTGTGTGCGGTGTGCTCTCCTGAAGAAGGTGTGCTGTGCGGTGCAATTGACCCGAGAGCAGTGTCCTTAACCTTCCTAAAGCTGCGCCCCTTAATACAGGTCCTCCTGGTGTGGCGACCCCCCCTCAATGAATCATAATGTAAATATCTGATATGTGCCCCCCAGTGAGGCCATGACCCACAGGTTGAGAACCACTGCCCTAGAGGGGAGAAATAGCCTAGTTGCTGGTTATTTTTCCATTGAATGACTACAGACCCAAACATTTGAGTACTTTTTATAATTCTAGAAGATTAGTTTTACAGTCTAGTGTAATTTGTTCCACGAAAAAGGTGAAAGTGAAATATGATAGATGAACGCACTTTCTGAGAGTGACTTTGTTGTTCCGTTTCTAGGTATTGAACCCAGGTCTGGAGCATTTGAGGGTGTGCCCTGACCATCTCTTTAAAATGTTGTCTCTAGCTGACAGTGTTTTAGGTCAAGTAGTAGTGCTTGGCCATTTTTTCTCTGTGCAGTATCTGGGAGATAGTTCTGGCTCCGTGATGACAAATTTGTCCTGATGCCCTGTTCTGTTGCAGACCAAATCCATTCAGTTCTTTCAATAGCTGTTAGGGCTCTGTGTGGGCTCTGCTGAATCCACTGCCTCCCAGAAGGCTTCCTGTTCCTCCTGTTGTTGGCAGTCACTCACGCTCTCTGTGAGCTGAAGTGACCTCAGTCGGGCAGGGCGGCCACTCTGCCACCACGCGTGTGTTGGTCAGAGACAGCTCTTCCGGTCGGTTCTCCCTGCCGTTTGGAGGCAGTGCCTGTTGTTTCTGTCACGTGGTGCATCCTGGGGGTGGCTGAGCTGCAAGCTTCCGGTGATTCTGCCTCCCATCTCGCCGTAGGGATGTTAGAGTTACAGATGTTCACCGCTGTGTCCCGCTTTTGTTATGGTTCTCGGGATAAATTCCGGTCATCAGGCTCCTACAGCCCATACTGCACGGATCCAGCTTTTTCAGCATTTTCTTCTTGCCGAGTTCAATTCCAGTCTCGCCATATCAGAAAATGTTTCCCGGAAACTACTCATACTGAGTTTGGTTTGTCCGTGTATATACACTGTTTCTAATGAAGACCTATAGCTTTCTCCAACATGTAGCTAGTGCATATAAAGATAATACGTGTGTAGAAGTATCTTATTTCCAATTAAAAGGTGTGTTCTGTACAAAACCTAGCACAGGAGCTGAGAAGATGGCTCAGCTGGTGTAGTGCCCACCATGCCAGCCTGGGAGCCGAGTTGAGGGGCACAGAACCCTCCTAACAGGTTCTGAGCCTGCGGTGCACATCTGTAATCCAGCGCTGCCGGAGAGGAGAGGGCAGCACCAGTGATCGCTGCACATCTGTAATCCAGCGCTGCCAGAGAGGAGAGGGCAGCACCAGTGATCGCTGCACATCTGTAATCCAGCGCTGCCAGAGAGGAGAGGGCAGCACCAGTGATCGCTGCACATCTGTAATCCAGCGCTGCCCGAGAGGAGAGCGCAGCACCAGTGATCGCTGGAGCTCCTGAGGAGCTCTGGGTTCAGTGAGACGCTGTCTCAGAAGATAAAGTGGGGGGTGGGAAGATGCCCAGTGTGACGTCTGGGCTCCACATGAATGAACGCGCCAGAAACACTTTTAAAATCTGTCACGTGGTGTTGGTAAAGGTGCTTTCCACCAAACCTGACAGACAACTCAGAGCCCAGTCCCAGAACCAACATGGTAGGAGAAAACTAATTCTTGCAAGTTGTCCTCTGACCTCCATATGCACACCATGAGTGCGGGTGCCTGTGGCCAGAGATGTCAACTCCCCTAGAGATGAGTTATAGGCCAATGTGAGCTTCCCAGTGTGGCTGCTGAGAACCGAGCTCAGGTCCTCTGGAAGAGCAGCACATGTTCTTAACCACTGAGCCACCTCTCCAGCCCTCCATGAGAACTTGTACTAAATTGTCATAAGTGGCCTTCTACAGATTCCATGGAAAAGAGTTTTAATATAAAATAAATGTAACAGCTGGGCATGGTGCTGCACACCTTTAATCCCAGCACTTGGGAGGCAGAGGCAGGCGGATCTCTGTGAGTTCGAGTTTAGCTTGGTCTACAGAGGGAGTTCTGGGACAGCCAGGGCTGTTACACAGAGAAACCCTGTCTCAGAAAACAAAAATAAATAAATAAATAAATAAATAAATAAATAAATAAATAAATAAACTAATAATAACAGTAATAATAAATAAATAAATTTAAGTGTCAAATAAAATGCCTGTCACTAAAATGTGAAGGTCTCAATTTGGATCCCCAGTGCCCACTCAGAAGCCAGAAATTGTGGTATCTTAGTTAAGGTTTCTATTGCTGTGAAGAGACACCATGACCACGGCAACTCCAATAAAGGAAAACATTTAATTGGATGACTCACTTACAGTTTCAGAGGTTCAGTCCGTTATCATCATGGCAGTGTTCAGGCAGACACAGTGCTGGAGGAGGAGCTGAGAGTTGTACATCTTGACCTGTAGACAGCGGAAGCACTTGTGTGCCACACTGGGTGTATAGGAGACCTCAGAGCTGACCCCCACAATGCTTCCTCCAACAAGCTCTAACCTCCCAATAGTGCCACTCCCTATGAGCTTATGGGAGCTAGTTACAAACTGCCATAATCTCCAAAACAAAAGATCTTGTAAAAATATTTTAAATAAGTAGAATAGTCATGAAACTTACATCACATTGTGAATATGCTTAGAGCTAATGGATTGCATACCTCAAAATGTAAAGATAGGCTCGACATAGAGGTGCACACCTGTAATGCCAGCACTCCACAGAGTCCAAGACACTAGAGTCAGGAGTTCAAATCCAGCCTGGATACACAGTGATGTCGTATCTTAAAAGCAACAGAAAATAAATAAACTAGAACAAATAATATCGGATAAGCCTAGCTGTGCATCGTGATGCAGATCTTTGTGAGTTTGAGGCCAGCCTGGTCTACAGAGTGAGTTCAAGGATAGCCAGGGCTATACAGGCAAACCCTGTCTCCAAAAAAAAAAAAAAAAAAAAGATGGATAGATTGATGTCAAAAGTTTAATACTAAGTGATACAGCAAAAATGACATTTCCAGTTACAACTATCAGAATTTGACCCAACTGTGTAAATCTTAATCATAGGGGAGATGGTTCCGATGATAGATAATTGACTGCCTTACAAGCTTAAGGACTTGAGTTGGGTCCCAAGAACCACATTAAAAAGAGCTGGGTGGGTATGCTGGCACACACTTGTAGTCCCAGTACTAGGAAGGCGGAGAGGGCTTGTGCTAGCCAGTGTAGGCTGATGGGCAACCCTCAGGCCAGTGACAGACTGGTTTTGTTTCATAATTTAATTGAGCTACTGAACTCTCTCAGTAGTTGTAATTTATAGGAAATGCTCTAGGGTTTTCCTGGGGGTGATGTTTTGGAAAGGATGAGTTGGTGCTGCCGAATGAACCCACAGCACGTGTGCAGCAGTGCGGGGCTGTGCTCTGAGCCCAGAGAAACAACAGAAAATCGGGAAGTCTCCAACCCTGTTGTACTCCCTGACAACTGACTTCCTTTTCTAGCTGCATTTATTTCATTTTATGTGCATGAGTGTTCTGCCAGAACGTATGTGTGTGTGACGTGCATTTCTGGTTCTCACGGGGGTCAGAAGAGGGCATCACATCTTCTGAAACTGGAGTTGTGGTCTGTTGTGAGCCACTGTGTGGGTTCTAGAGATCAAACCTAGGTTCTCTGCAAGAGCAACAAGTGCTTTTAACTGATACGCCATCTCTCTAGCCCTCCTTGAGGACTTTAGAAAAGACACCTGCTGAAATGCAGTTTGACTTTGTCTTGCAGGAAGCATCTCAATTCTCCCTACTGTGTTGTACCTTGCGATTGGAGTCCTCAGAGAAACTGCTGTGAAATTCCCTGGGGGCCAGTTGTCCTCAACGGTCACAGCCTCCCTGCAAGCTCTGAAAGGAATCCTAACCTCTCCGATGGCCCGCGCGGAAAAGAGCCACGCAGCTTGGACCAGCCTCCTCCAGAATGCTCTAGCAACCGTGCTCGACTGTTGGGGTCCAGGTCAGCAAGACTGTTCGCGGTTTTAAAGGGAGAGGCACGGCTGTTGGTTCTAGGATGAGCTGCTCCGTCCTCCTATTTGGTAGTCTGTCTTGTGCCCAGCGGATGTGTAGAGTGTTCAGATAGACCTTATCCCGTCTTCCTCGTCCTGTTTGCAGTTGGCATGATTCACTCAGTTTGAGTTTGTGCAGCAAGAGGAGGACCCCATCATGATGGGAAGAGACGCCAAAGAATTCAGTCACAGAAGCCTAAGGAAAGGCCGTGCACGCCGTTAGTGTCAGCACTCAGGAGGCAGAGGCAGGGGGATCTCTGAGTTCAGAGGCCAGACTGGTCTACAGAGCGAGTTCTAGGACAGCCAGGGCTACGGAGAAACCAAAAGAAAAAAATAGAGTCATAGTAGAATGGTGAGCAGGGCGTGCTTTGATACAGTTAAGAGCTAAAGACACAAGTCTAGATGGGCTCCTCCTGGAAGGACAGACCTCAGGAGGAAGTACAGATAGGGTCGAGGTACTGTTGTTTTCCCTGAGACAAACAGAATCTTGCTGTGTAGCCCAGGATTGCTTTGATCTCAGCATCACCCTGCTCCCTAGTGCTGGCATTACAAGTCCATGCCATCGACCTGGCAAGAAGGTTTTGTTTTCAGAGCCCCACTAGTTCAAGTCCATATTTGAAAGGAGGTGGAGAATGTGCAGAGTCGGGATTAGAGAGCAGACGGACTAAACGGACAGCACGGTTAAATGTGTTAACCTCTGCCAGCAAAAGGGAGGAAGAGAAGGAAAGATGGAGAAATGTTGTTCGTTTTGATGGTGTCCATCATAGCGAACTTCGAGGTCTTCATAGATGCACGGTATGTGTGCTCTCAGAGTGTGTCAAGAGGACTGAGATGTTACAACATTAACGTGAGATAATCAGCTCCTGCTGTGGTAAATGGTAAACGTTTGTAACAGGTTGCCTCCAGCGAGCCTAATGCTGCCTGTTATCCCAACATTTGGCAGTAGAAGCAGGAAAATCAGGAGTTCAAGGCCATCCTTAGTTACATAGAGAGTTCAGAGCCAGCCTGGCCAGGCCATGCCCTCTCTCAGACAAAAAAACAAAAAACCTTAGTGGCTTAAAAGAGAAAAATATCCCAGGACTTAGCCTCTCATGAAATTACTGCTAGGCCATTGGCCAGGCTGCAGCCAGCGGGTTGGATTCCAGGATGACCCCCTCAGACAGCTGTTGGCAAGAGGCTGTTTTCTACTGCGTGGGCCTCAGGGCGGCCTGCTGCTCAGCACACTTCCATCCATCCCCAGTAAGTAAAGGGGTAGTGAAGGAGGTTCAGGAGAAATGGGAAGAGGACCCAGGAGACGTTTACCTTGATGAAATTAAATAAGTATTTTTACTAAACTAATAGCTGAGTGTGCTATGGTTTGAGTTGCTCTGAGTGACTAGAGGAAACTTGGCTGGAGAGAAAGCAGGAGAGCCCCTGGGTGCCAGCGTAGTCTCTGGAGTCAGACTGTCCGCTTTCCTTACTTCCTGTGTCCTGGGCACATGACCAAATTCCCGCTTCTTACACATGAGATGCTGCTGCCAGGGTAAATGTCTGGCTAGTACGAAGCACTCTGGCACTGCTGTGTGGTTCACTTGGTTACCTGTGTGCCAACTCACTCATCCGTAAATGCCCGTTCACAGCATCTCCTCTTGGTGGTCACTGCGTCTCCTCTCGGTGGTCAGCCTCAGTGGCACCTCAAGACTTTCTGTCCATTGGTGTCGCTTGTCCTGAGTCACTGTCGATGGCGTTTTTATTTCTGTGATAGGGTCTCATGTAGCCCAGGCTGATCTGGAATTCTCTTGCAGAGAATGGCCTGAATCCCAGACTCTCCTGCCCCAGCCTCCCCAGGTGCTAAGATCACAGCTTGAGGCACAATGTTCCTGCTTTTGTTGTTTGTTTTGTTTTCATTTGGTTTGGTCGGTTTTTCAAGACAAGGTTTCTTTGTGTAGCCTTGGCTGTCCTAGAACTAGTTTTATAGACCAGGCTAGCCCCAAACTCACTGAGATAGAAACTGCAGGGCATGTTTGATTTCTTGCTATGTTTTTATAGGCATGGACCTTGTTCCCGGCTGAACCTAAATTCTGTATGTGATTCCCACTTGATAGTGAAGTCGTATTCTCATTGCCGAAGAGGGAAGGCTGGCACATGTTTTTAAGTACTTGGTGAATTAATATGACTGATGTCATTTGTTTATAAATAACCATTTTGTGGGCTGGGGGTGTAGCTCAGCTGAGAGAGTACTTGTCTAACATGCACAAAGCCCTGGATTCTGTCCCAGCACCACACACACTTAGCATGGTGGCTCGGCCTGTAAGCCCAGCCTGCACTCAGGGGCTGCAGGAGAAGGAACATCAGCAGCCACAGAGCAGGCTGGAGGCCAGTCTAGGCCATGTGAGAGTCTGTTTTCTTGTTTTGTTTTGTTATGTTATTGTTGTTGTTGTTTTTGATTCATATAACTTGATCTTAGCCAGAAGCCAAAGAAGCATTAAAAAAAAAAAAAAAAAAAAATAGAAGTTGAGTTTGCTACCTTTGCCTTTCAAAATAATCCATAGCTCCTTCATTAAAAATACTTAATTAGAATGTCACTTTGGAAAATGAAGGTAATTTATTTCTAATAGAAAATTTGATACACACTTGTAATCCTAATCCAAGCACTGGGGAATGAACAGGAAGACCACTGAAAACTGAAGCCGGTCTGGTCTGTTTAGTGAGGGCCAGCCAAGGCTACAGAGGAAAACCATGTCTCAAAAATAAATATGAAAGGAGTAGACGACTGATGTACCCTAGTAGGCTAGCGTGCGTGAAGCCCTGGGTTCAGTCCCAGGAACACATAAACCAGGCATGGTATATTACACACTTGTAATTCCAGCATTTGAGAAATGAAGGCAGAAAGATCAAAAATTCACCCCTTTAATCCCAGCACTCAGGAGGCAGAGGCAGGCAGACCTCTGAGTTCGAGGCCAGCCTGGTCTAGAGTGAGTTCCAGGACTACACTGGCTATGTAGGCCTTTGAATTCTTGGCCTCAGCAGATCTTGCTGCTCACCCCCTGCCCAGCTCCTAGTGCACACACAGTGCTTCAAGACAAGAAACCTGGTCTTGAAAAACCAAAACCAAACAAACAAAAATTCAGGGTCATCCTGAGCTATATAGCAAGTTGAAGCCAGCCTGGGCTACATGAGACCCTTGCCTCAATTAAAAAAAAAAAAATTCATTCAAACCAAGGTAGGACCTCCACACTCTTTTCAGACTTTGAAAAGTATGTAGACAAAGTGCTAATATTTACCTGGCAGCCATATTAACCCAATGCAGAGGAAGAATAACAGGCCAGTGGTGCGAGCACTCCATTGCACCCAAAGCGGGGACAGCAGACTGTGCGGAGCACTGTGTGTGCACTAGGAGCTGGGCAGGGGGTGAGCAGCAAGATCTGCTGAGGCCAAGAGTTCAAAGGCCTACATAGCCAGTCCCTGTCTCAAAACAAAACAAAAAATGACATCATAAAGCACTAATACCTGTGAAAGCCACGAGTAACATGTATCCTAATGCCTAAAGGTTAGCTCACCTGATTCTCATGCCCCACTTAATGTGAGAAAACTGAAGATATACTTCCATGTCCACAGTCAGCCGGTCTCACATGTGTGCTCTCCACCCCACTGCACACCTGAGAGCCTTAAACCTAGAGCCTTCCATGTGCCCGGCAAGTTCTTCACCACTGCACTGCACACCCAGCCCTCAGAGGTTCTTAAGAGTCGGCTTGTCTGCGGGGCAGCAAAAACATTGCTAACCAAACTAAAGAGAGCTTCACAGCTGGGCGGTGGTGGCGCACGCCTTTAATGCCAGCACTCGGGAGGCAGAGGCAGATCTCTGTGAGTTCAAGGCCAGCCTGTCTCAAAAAAACGAGAGAGAGAGAGAGAGAGAGAGAGAGAGAGAGAGAGAGAGAGAGAGAGAACTTCATACAGAGAGATGCAGCAGTAAAAATGACCCTTCTACTAATCATTTCTCTCCAGTTGATGGAACACATCAAGAACTTGATGAAGTCAGTCTACTCACGGCCGTCACAGTATTTATTTTGTCGACCAGTCCAGAAGTGACGACCATCCCCTGCCTTCAGAAGCGCTGCATTGAGAAATTTAAGGCTGCCCTGGAGAGCAAAGACCCTGTGGTAAATGTCTTTTAGTAGAGAGCTCTTTGCAATAGGCATCTGTTTAGACTTCAAACCTTTGTCTTTAGGATTGTCGTACATACACTGTACTTTGTGATTTTGCTTGCTCCTACAAAAAGTATCCAGGGACGGGGTTGTGGTTGAGCAGGTACGTACGTACGTACGTACATACATACGTACGTACGTGCCTAGCGTACAGAGGGCCTGGGTTTGCTCCCCAGCGCTATAGAAATCGAGCATGGTCGTGAGGCTTGCAATCCCAGCACTAGCTACTAGAGGCAAATAGCAGAGTTTAAGGCCAGCCTAAAATACATGAGACTCGGTCTCAAAAAAAAAGGAGCCAGGCAGTGGTGGCATACACCTTTAATCCCAGCACTCGGGAGGCAGAGACTGAGTTCAAAGCTAGCCTGGTCTACAGAGCGAGTTCCAGGATAGTCAGGGCTACACAGAGGGACCCTGTCTTGAAAAAGAAAACAAAACAAACAAAACATTGGTGTAACTTGCCAGAAGTGGCGGCCACACCTGTGATCCCGGCCCTGGGGACGCAAAGGCCAATCCCATCTGCACAGGGGATTCAGGCCAGCCAGGACTTCGGAGCGAGAACTGTCAAAACAAGGAGAGATGCCTTAGCAGCTATAGCAGCACTCCCTGCCCTTCCAGAGGACCAGAGTTCAGTTGCCAGCACTCACATTGGTAGTTGCAGCCATTTGTAACTCGCAGAGGTCTGATGCCCTCTCCTGGCCTCTGTGGACACTTCACTCATAGGCCCATATCCACACACTGAAGCACACACATAATTAAAAACAGTCATTCGTATGGCTATAGCACAAGGGATTTTTAGGATCATTTGTAGATTTTCTTTTTAAAAAAAAAAGGAATGATAGATTAGATTAAATGTTTCTTTTTTCATGTGATATAAAATTAGTTTGGAGCCCATACTCAGAAACATTTCTTACTCCCAAAGATATAGGAACCAGATTTTCTCGAGGGAAAAAAAAAAAACAATGCTTAAAATACTATCACGGTTTGAAGAGGCCATGTCTGGATGAGGTGTGTAGCCGGCTCCTTTATCCTTTGGTCAGGTTGTCATGGCTGCCTGCACGAGTGTGCAGCAGCTCCAGGTGGTGACTGTGACAAGTGACGACACCTTCTTAGTGTGGGCCAGGTGGCGTCCTGGAACCTCGAGACCATGACATGTGGGTAGCAAATGTGTAGAATTTCGGTGTAAAACATTTTCTGAAAACAACAAATTAAGTTCAAATTTGTCTCTATTTTGTCGGTTTAGGTTGTTGGGGGGCGGTTAACGTCGTGGCTAGTTTTACACATTACAGAGAGGGACCGAGAGGAGGAGAACGGGCTGGAGGGACAGTGACCGTGTACGGCTGCCTTCCCCACGGTGCCTGTCCACACTGTCAGAACCACTGTTGCCGTCTGCTACCTGTCGGCAGGAGGACTTCCGAAGCCAAAGAAAGGGACTGAGTGTAAAAAGTTTGCAAGGGCATTTGTTCTCTGTGTTTCTTTAATGTGCAGTTTATTCTTGTCTTACCCCATTAGGTCCAGATGAAGACCTATCAGCTCCTACATTCCATTTTTCAGTATCCGAATCCGGCCATCTCCTACCCGTACATTTATTCTTTAGCGTCTTCCATTGTGGGGAAACTGCAGGAAATAGACAAGAGAAAGCCCGAGGACACGGCCGAGCTGCAGATCTTTCAGGAAGGAATAAAGGTCTTGGAAGCGTTGGTCACCATTGCCGACGAACAGCACCGTGAGTGTCAGTGCTGGGTCCCAACCCTCCCCAGTGTCTGCCATCAGGCCGCATTGCTTTCAGAGAGGCCACAGTCCTGTCCTCCAAGGCTGGTTTCTCCAGCGCCTGGCAGGGTTTACAGGGCCCTGTCTCAAAGACAACAAACAAACAGAAGGTATGCTGGCACACTGCTGTAATTCCAGCACTCTTGAAGTGGAGACAGGAGGACCACCGTGAGTCTGAGGCTAACCCAGGCTACGGGTGAGACTGTCTGAAAAGAGAAAAAGAGGCAGGAGAAAGTCATGAGGTCCAGTTCTAGACAGAGAGCTACAAGCACCTTACAAGTGCTGAGAGAGTGCACTCAGTCTCCCTAGAGAGGAGCCCCAAGTGTTATCCTAAAGCAGTGGTCAGCCCTAAAATCGTAGACATAGGAGCATCATTAAATGGACTCAGCAGGTGGTATTTATTTTTGTATGTATACACACAAAACAATTTTTAAAAAAGACTTCATGAATTTGAAAGAGAGTTGGGGACCTGGGAGGGGCTGAGAGGGGGAGGGAAATGATGTGAATATAGGAGACATATGTGAGATTGTTCAGTTTACTGTTTTAAGAAGAGAGCTGGAGAGAGAGTTCAATCATTAACGTTCTTACCTTGCCAGCATGAAGACCTGGCTTCAGTCATCACAACCCAGGAATCCCAGCACTCAGGAGGTGGGGACAATCAAGTCCAGATAAGTTTTAAAGTCATCCTTGGTGAATTTGGGGCCAGACTAGTCCGGGAAAAAAAAAAAGAAAGAAAAGGCTGGGTGGTATGTTGGTGAAGGATGCTTTTAATCCCAGTGCCAAAGAATCAGGAACAGGTGATTGCTGGGGCTTCCTGGCCAGCCTAGCCTACACGTTGAGCTGTGTCCTCCACCTGCATGTGCTCCAAACACAATACACACGTGCACACACATACACACGCACTAAGCAGGTATGATGATAATCCCAGCTACAGGTAATATAGTATGAGGAAAGGTGGGGTTATTTTACCCCCAAGTGAAGAATGTACCTGAAGCTCACTAACCCCCCTGAACCCGCCCTTTCTCGCCCCCAGGCTCTCAGCTGGTGGCCTGCCTTCTGCCAGTCCTCATCTCCTTCCTTTTGGATGAGAACGCTCTGGGATCAGCAACTTCGGTTATGAGAAGTCTACATGACTTTGCTTTGCAAAACCTCATGCAGATCGGGCCTCGGTATTCCTCAGTGTTCAGGAATGTCATGGCTTCTTCCCCAGCCTTGAAAGCCCGGCTGGAGGCTGCCGTAAAGGGCAATCAGGAAAGTGTCAGAGTGGAGGCGCCTTCTAAACATGCCAAGAACCTGGGCAGGAACTCAAGCATCCAATTAAAGACGAATTTCCTGTGATGCTGCTCCTCTGGGACACTGGGCACCAGATGTAATCCTTGGTTGTCTCCTTGCCTTGGGGACAGAAGTGAAACTTGAGACCCAAGTGCAGTGGAGATCCAGTTGATTGTTCTGATTTTAGGAGTGATTGAAAACTTCACATTCTTGCTAATTTCGCTTTTGTTTGTTTTCTTTTACTAAGACCATGGAACTGTCAGAATTCTTGCCAGGCATTTCAAGAAACTGCCAAAGATCCCAATTTACTAAGTAATCCACTGCTTTGAGAATGACGGGATTTCCTCTGAGGGTCTGTGTGTTCAACTCTGACAGACATCAGTGTGCTGTAAAGTCTCTGAACTCACACCGCATCCCAGTTGCTAACGTAAAATCCTGCCGTATTCTGTAATAGCATCACACGTCATTGCAGTTCTCAGGCGACATCAGTGATTAGAGCAGGGAAGGGGACCTGAGGAGACCGAGGCAGGATGATCACCAAATTCTACACCAGCCCGGTCTACATAGCAAGTTCCAGACCAGCTAGGATACATGATAAGACTTCTCTCAAAAAGGAATTAACTAACAAACAAGCCAATTAATAATGCCAACAGAAAATAAATGATTGGAACGATCTTTAAGAACTGGATCTAGCTGGGCAGAGGCAGTGCACACATTTAATCCCAGCACTTGAGAAGCAGAAGCAGGCGGATCTCGTGAGTTTGAGGCCAGCCTGATCTGCAATGTGAGTTCCAGGACAGCCAAGGCTACACATAGGGACCCTGTCTCGAAAAACCAAAAAAATAAAAAAATTAAAAATAAAAAGACCCAGATCTAGAATTCCCCAACATACACTAAGACAGCCAGCATCAGCCTCCCCGTGTGTTTGAGGCTGTGCTCTTTTAAGGGGGTTTATGCTGAGGGCACACTTGAGTGCTTTTATAGAGAACAGAACGTCTCCATCCTACTGTTCTTCAGATGGATTTTCTGTTACCTCGGTTCCATTTTGTTGTTGTTATTTGTGGAAATGATTCATATTGAGAGCTTAATGGAGATTTGTGTCTATATCGATAGATTATATGAATGTCAAATTTAGTACAACAGATTTAGAACTTCTGTGAATACAAGTATGTTTTTTTAACACAGAATGTATTTTAATATAAAAATCTAATGATAAAGTCACGTTGGTTGAAAACTATTTTGGGCTGTGTTCACGATCACTGACTTTCCCGCCGCTGCAGTATTGTCCTGTGTGACTGAGCACTGTCAGAGCCATGCAGCGTCCTGTTGTCATTCACGACCTGCAGGGACAGAGGCGTGCTCAGAATCGAGAACGGATGGGAGCAGGAACCACGCTGGACTCTATTTTAGTATGTTTGTATGTAAATACTCTTGTAAAGCTTTCAGAGTGGAAAACATTTGACAACCTCTAACACTACAATCAACTTTTCTATATTACACAAATAAAGCTAATTTTCTTTAATGTTCTTGTATCTTGAATTATTTCATCCAGGAAAGGTGAGCAGTTTTTCTCACAGATTTGAAACAGTCCCCTTAACTTGGCTTTGGTTCTCTGGCGCATCCCCCACAGTGATTTCGAGTGTCCTCCTGTAGGCTTGAATATCTGTTTTCTGTTGTTCTCGTCTGAAATGCCCTTCCCTCTCCCTGGTCCTTTCTGTGGCTGTGGACTCCATCTCCTTTCAGGCCTGGGCCAAGTCTTGATAACAACACGTACCACCAAATTGAACTTCCGCCTCACTCGTCTGTGTAGCTGCCGGTCACTACTACAGTGTAGTGCCTAATACACCTGTCAGTCCAGTGTTCTAGCTTACCTCCCTTTAGATGGCTTCCAATAATCTTGCCCCTGTGCCATTGACTACAGGCATCATCCTGAGTGATGGATAACCACGAACAGCAGCTGAGTTACTCTGGTGTGAGCCAGACTTGGACTCAGGAGCATACCCCTTTACCAAGGAAAATGCAGCCCCGTGTTCTCTGGATATAATCTATTCCTTTGACTGTTAGAGGCTGTTTTAGTGACTGGTCGCTTGCTGTAAAGAGACACCATGAGCAAGGCAACTCTTATAAAAGAAAACATTTCATCCGGGGCCTGTGTATAGTTTAGAAAGTCCTTTAACCTGACAGGAAGCAGATAAGCATGGATCTGGAACAGTAACTGAGAGCTACCTCCTGATCCCCAGGCAACAGGCAGAGAGACACAGGATATGGTGTGGACTTTTGAAACCTCAAGGTCCACCCCCCCAGTGACATACGTTCTCCAATAGGGCCACACTTAATCCTTCCAAACAGCTCATTGACTGGGGACTTAAGCGTGTAATATATAAGCCTAGGGGGGGGGGAATAGGGACTTTTATTGTTTTATCCATTTTTAATTGTTGCATTTGGTTGTTAAGATTAAGATTTCTCATTTTGGTGGCATAATTTATTTTTAAAGGTTTATTTATTTATGTGTATGAGTGCTCTATCTGCATGTACCTCTTTATGCCAGAAGAGGGCACCAGATCCCACTATAGATGGTTGTGAGCCACTATGTGGGTGCTGGAAATTGAATCCAGATCCTCTGGAAGAGCAGCCAGTGATCTTAACCGCTGAGCCAGCTCTCCAACCCCGGCCTAATGTTTTTAAATCCATCATCTTATTTGACAGTGGTAAATTTTTAGATTTTACCTGAGAAGATTACTGAAAAACTGCTAATGACTGAGGATTGGAACCTGTCTTTCCCATCCTGGATAGAGACTTGCAGCCTGATTCCATCAAGCTAAGACTTCCCTTAATGACCCTTTCACAGGGGTCACCTAAGACCATCAGAAAACACAGATTTTTACATTACAATTCATAACAGTAGCAAACTTACAGTTAGGAAGTTGTAACAAAAATAACTTTATGGTTGGGGTCATCACAACATGAGCTGTGTTAAAGGGTCACAGCATTGGGAAGGTTAGGGACTTGCTCATTCCTTGTTGAAAGGGCTTTGAGCAGACTATTTTCAGGCAAATTTCCCCCCCTGGTAACCAAACCGCTTCTACTAATAAAGTAGTTTGTTTTATGTAACCCACTGCTTAAAAGTTTGTCATGGGGGGCTGGAGAGATGGCTCAGAGGTTAAGAGCACTGGCTGTTCTTCCTGAGATCCTGAGTTCAATTCCCAGCAACCACATGGAGGCTCACAGCCATCTGTGATTTGATCTGGTGCCCTCTTCTGGTGTGTAGGCAGAACACTGTATACATAATAAATGAATAAATCTTTAAAAAAAAAAAAAAAGTTTGTCATGGAAAGAGTTAATGTTGGGTATACAGATCTCTACTAATACAGCATGGAAGCAGAATTTTAATTCTGCAAAGTAAACAGTCACCAACTTCTGAAAAGAACATTAAGGCACTTTAAAAAGGAAAAGGGGCTGGGTATGGTGGTGCACGCCTTTAGTTCCAGCACTCAGGAGGCAGACAGGTGGATCACTGTAGCTAGAGTTTTCCTGCCTTGCCCACAGTCAGGACAAATCTCTGTCACCCACCAGTCCCACAGCCGCTCAGACCCAACCAAGTAAACATAGAGACTTATATTGCTTATAAACTGTATGGCCGTGGCAGGCTTCCTGCTAACTGTTCTTATATCTTAAATTAATCCATTTCCATAAATCTATACCTTGCCACATGGCTGGTGGCTTACCGGCGTCTTCACATGCTGCTGGTCATGGCGGCGGCTGGCAGTGTCTCTGCCTCAGCCTTCCGCTTCCCACAGTTCTCCTCTCTCCTTGTCCCACCTACTTCCTGCCTGGCCACTGGCCAATCAGTGTTTTATTTATTGACCAATCAGAGCAATTTGACATACAGACCATTCCACAGCAGATCACTGTGAGTTCAGGCCAACCAGGGCTACACAGAAACACCAACAAAAAGGGAAGGGGCTGAGGATGTAGCTCAGCTGGCAGAGCGTCTGCCTAGCATTCCTGAAGCCCAGGGTTCGGTCCCCAGCTCCACATAAACTTGATGTGGTGGTACACTCCTGGAATCCTAGCACTAGAAAGGAAGGCAGGAGGACTTCAAGGGCATCCTCAGCTACACAGCAACCTGGAGACAGATGATTGGGAGGTACATGAGACCTTGTCTCAAAAACAACAAGAGGGAAGTGTGTAGAAGAGGCTAGGCATAGTGCTCTGCGAGGCCAGAAAGGAAACTGAGCCTCCCAATGACCTGCAGTGGAGAAACTCAGGATTCAGGCTTGGAGAACAGTACTTGATGGAATGGACTCAAAGCCCAAGGCCTTTGCAACAGTGGGAAGACTTGGTTTTTAATTGTGCTATCAGATTTGCATTATGACAGAAGAAATTCTGTTCGTCAACTAAGCGGATACAAAGCTAAACAATGTATGGACTAACCCGAGATTCTAAAAAGCTATAAAGTTAAAATGTTGAATCGGGCTGGAGAGATGTCTCAGTGGTTAAGAGCATTGGCAGCTCTTCGAGAAGACCAATTGCCGGCGCCCAGATGGTGGCTCACAAAGGTCTGTGACTTCAGTTCCATAGATGTAGCGCCCTCTTATGTCCTCCTTGGGTACTGCACACATTTACAAGAGTTTGGTCGCGTTGTTTGTTTGTTTTATATTTACTTAGTGTGTGTGTGTGTGTGTGTGTGTGTGTGTGTGTGTGTGTGTGTGTGTGTGTGTGTGTGCATGAGCAGAGGTCAGAGGACAACTTGCAGGAACCAGTCTTTTCCTTCCATCATGTAAGTCCCAGGGATCAAACTCAGGTATGAAGGAGCAGCCAGAAGCACCTTGGCCTGAGTACTGCCATTTTGACTTCAAACTCCATTTTACCTGTAGGATAAAATAAAGTTCAGATTCTCAGGCCTTAGGGGAGCTGAGAACTTTGCCATGGCTAACCAAACTCTCCCCTAAACCATGGAAATAGTCATTCGTTCTCTAAGACTTTATGACTGCTCCTAACATCAGAAAGAACAAAGGAATCTGATTGGTTGGACTGAAAAGCTTATATTCTGTGTCAATTGACAGTGACGGAACATGAAGTCCTAACTTAGATTCCTGATTGGCAGAAACTGTAACTTGGCAACATATGTTTGTGATTTTCGTGCTTATAAACCCTGTTCCTGCCCCTACCAGGAGAAACAAGGCTCCCTACCTAGTCCTTGTCCTGTAGCCCTGACCGATCAGTGACCCACTTATGTGGTGATTATTAAAATCTTTGGAAATCCAAGTCTCTCTCCTTCCTTGTGCTGCACAAGGGGCTAGGAGTAGCAGGTCGTCTGGCTTGGCAGTAAGGCCTTTGCCCTTGAGCCGTCTAGCCTGCCAAAGGCTGCTGTTTTATAAGCAATCAATCAATCATGACAGGGTGGGGGGGTGGGAGGGTGGAGACATAGGGCTCCTCACTTCTTGAGCAGATGGGGTAAATCGTCTCCACGTCCTCCCAAGGACTGGCAAGTACTAGACACAGCATCTAGCCCTTGTTTCAACCCAAAGCTTTTCTAAAAATAGACTGTCCAGCTTAGGGAACTGCTTTTGCTTTGATAATCAACAGGCCCATTGTGAGCCAGCATCAGTGAAAAACAGTCAGGCCTCGCCCGGCGGCAGGGCGTGCTGTGGCTCTGGTTGCCGGGCGTGCAGAGCAGATTCTGTTCATTAACAACCGTTCTGATGTATGAGTCTTGAGGAAACTGTATAGAAACTAGGTGTGGTGGCTCATGCCTGTGATGTCGGAACTTGGGAGAGACAGGGTAGGGAGAATCACTAGGTTCAAGGTCGACCTGAGCCGAATTTTAGTTTATTTTGTAGGTTGGTTGGTTGGTTGGTTTTTGAGACAGGGTCTCACTGTGTCACCCTGGCTGGCCTGGAACTCACGCAGATCTATCGACCTGCCTCCCCAAGTGTTGGTACTAAAGGCATGTGCCACCCACCACATGCAGCTAATTTGTAGTTTTAGGCAAGGTGGAAACATAGTGCGTATATAGGTTTTTACTAAAGTCTAAATCTGTATTGCTTAGAAGTCAGTTTTAAGGGTTAGAGAGATGGCTTAGTGGCTAAGAGCACTGGCTGCTCTTCCAGAGGTCCTGAGTTCAATTCCCAGTAACCACAGGGTGGCTCACAACCATCTCTAGTGGGTTCTGATGTCCTCTTCTGGAATAAAGGTGTACATGCAGATAGAGCATTCATACATTAAATAGAAAGCAAGCAAGCAAGCAAGCAAGAAGGAAAGAAGGAAAGAAAGAAGGAAGGAAGGAAGGAAGGAAGGATGGAAGGAAGGAAGGAAGGAAGGAAGGAAAGAAAGAAAGAAAGAAAGAAAGAAAGAAAGAAAGAAAGAAAGAAAGAAAGAAAGAAAGAAAGAGATAGAGAAAGGAAGGAAGGAAGGAAGGAAGGAAGGAAGGAAGGAAGAGGAAGAAAAAAAAGAAGTCAGTTTTAGCAGCAAGCAGATAGCCTGTCTTTAGTTCCCTTACTCAGTGGTGCTATAAAGGTC